CAATATGTCATAGTTGAATTCATCCCCTCCATCATAAAATTGTCTATAGTATTTTTTTGTTTTTGCAATACTAGGATTTGAACTCAGGACCTCACACTCCCATTTGCTAGGCAGGTGCTCTACCACTGAAGCCACTCCACCAGTCCCTTTTAAAACAACTGGTTTTTTTTTTTTTTTTTTTTTGTGGTATTGGGGTTTGAACTCAGGGTCTCCACCTTGAGCCACTCCACCAGCCTTTTTTTGTAAAGGGTTTTTTTCAACATAGGGTCTCAAGAACTATTTGCCCAGGCTGGCTTTGAACCGCAATCCTCCTGATCTCTGCCTCCTGAGTAGCTAGGATTATAGATGTGAGCCACTGGATCCTGACTAAAAACAACTGTTTAACTAGTGGGGACTTCAGGTGGGCAAAAACACAGCTGTCTCCAAACTGGTCACAAAATGCCCAAATAGCCACCTAGAAGTATTTCCCCTAATGACCTCTTAAATCTTAGCTACCTTGAAATCCTCACTAATAGGGCTGTGAAGTTTACTTGTGGACAAAAGACTGGTAGTTTACTCATTTGTCTCATTCTAAGATGTAGCATCTACTTTGTGCTTTACACATATCTCTTGGTAAAACCCATAATCCGTGGCAAGCATTTTTTTCTTCAGATTTATAAACTAGCTCCATAAGCCTGGAAAGCATAAACTGTAGAGTAATGCCAACAATAAAACAGTGTCATAGCCAACAAGCCCCAAAGGAATGAGAAAGAAGGAACAAGTGCATTAGAGGGTATCACAGACAAACTTCTCTATAAGGCCTAATTACCTTATTGGTGAACTCACCTCTAAGAATCAGGGGATTCTAAGTAAAAAGTGACATGGAAACAAACTTATTCAATTGACACTTGCTTTATCCAAAACGTAAATACAGAGTATCTTCATAGTATCCATGAAATAAGAAAATAAGCCCAGAGGCCCTGGGTATTTCTGAGAAAATATTTTTTATAAGATGATTCCATAAGCGTTGGGTTGAGCAAATAAAATGGCAGAATCAGACACAATGCCTAAAATGACTCAGATTATTTCAGATATTAAATCACTCACAATTCTTTGCTTATTGATAACATGGTGCTCCCAAAAGATTAATAAATTACTACTAAGTACACGTGTCACTTCTACAGCACTTTTAGGCATTCAGATGGCAGCTCTGGAGAAGCCTTAACCTTGTGTAACTCTGAGATAATTTGTCTGGTCCCCTCCCTGATGAGAACCTAGGACTAAATCCTACAAGCACTTAGAAAAGTGAAAAGAGAGTAGACTCACCTAGTGTTTAGACTTAAAGGACTTCGAGAGTTAATTTAATTTAAAACCTCCTTCCCAGTTTTGCAAATGAAAACTAAAATGAGTTGATGTGAAGTTCTATGATATGTAGTCTAGGAGTTGGAAAAAAGAAACTGGTTTGAGGGCCCAATATACCATGTTTGCTTAGGGAGGGAGAGATTCATTAGTTTTTTGGTTTGTTTTAATGTATCTTTCATTTTGAAAAATGGAACTGATATCAGGAGTGGGATCTACAATGGTTCAGAGAGTGAAAACCATTTTTTCTGATTTTATCTCTTAAGTATCTTTCAGGTATATGAATGTTTGTCAATTATATGAATGTGGTAGAGTAACTAACACTAAAGTTTAAGGTGGATGAAAAATTGACAGATATCCAGCCTAAACTATTTCTGATCAGGATTCAGAAGCCCCAATAAATAAAATCTCCAGATGTCTTACAGAGGCAAAGTCAGACAGTTCAAGTGAGGTAGAAAGGGAGAATCAATCAGTTTTTCAGAAACATGCTCCAAGAGTGTAGTCCTAAAGACCTACACACACACACACACACACACACACACGCACACACACACACGCAAAACAAACAAACAAACAAACAAAAACATGAAATGGAGACCAGGGTCCTAACAAGAGACCCAGGGTAGTAGTCACAAACTGGGAATTCTAGGCTGGCAGAAGAAAAGTGATATTGGGGGGGTGTCAAATGTACACTCACATCAAGTAGAAACAAGAAGTTAGTAAACTTTTCAGTGTGCTGGGAAAGTATGAATGTATGGAAAACACACATGACATACATAGAAATGTCATACCATATGTCACTATAACATAAGAAACCTCAGGTCAAGAACCAGCCCTGGAATCAAACTATAGCTGAGCCCCATTTATCTGTGACAAAGCCAGTGGAGTTAAGAAGGCTCAAATAGTAGAAGTAAAATACTAGTTATGAAATTTGAGGAAAGTATAAGACACATATGTAGCATTTATTGTTATTACTTATATATATATTAGGATATGTGAAATAATCTGGGAACTACTTCTGAACCATTTTCTCATGAGGTTCAAGGAACACCTTTTTTTTACTTTAAACTTGTGAATTGGTATGAAAGAATGGACGCAGATATGAAATTGGTGGCTTCTGTTCAAAGAACAAAACCCTGTTGGTGGGGGGAGTTAGTAAATAAGTAAAAGAAGGGAGCAAAGAACAATGAAGAGAGCTAACACAACCAAAAAAATTCTACCTTTGATGTCCTTTTAGATATGGAAGAAATACTCTTGTAAAATGTCAGTTGTACAAAGAGGGCTAGAAAACATCTTGTCACTAAAAAATTGTAATTATAATTGGTAACAGCAATCATAACAGTCAAAAACTAGAAACAAACATGTAATATGTAACAATAAGACAAATGAAAACTGCAAATACATGCCAAATATGAATCAATCTCACAAACATAACAGTGAGCAAATCAAGCCAGACACAAAAGAGTTCAATAGTCCATGGATAAAAGGCTCAAAAATAGGCAAAGCAAACCTGTATCTGAATAGCAATTATCCTTGTTGGAGAGTAGTGACTACAAGGAATTGCAGAGAGATATTTGGGGTATTGGGTTATGCTTTGTTTCTTGATGTAGGTGCTGGATATATACTTTCTGAGAATTCATCCAGCTGCACACTTAGGTTTTTATGCACCTTCCCATATGTATTTTCTATTTCCATTAAAAATGTTAAAGCAATGTTTCTCATTCTACCTTCTATAAGACTGTCACCTAAAGAAATGTGATTAGATGATTCTTTCATAAAAGAGTTTGGTGTTCAGTAAGGTTGAGAAGTGCTAGGGAAAACACATTTTAGATTTCCACTCTGCAAGATGTTTCCATCCATGAGTATGACCACATCCACCCTCTCTGCAAAACCTCTGCACCACTTATGCTGTCCCTTTCAAGCTTCTGTAGGTTCTCTTTTTGTACCCCAAGTTTGGTCACAACAGAAGCTGATGAAAGAATGTGGACCTGCACATACAGTTTACCCTCCCACACACACGAAAACAAACCACTTTTGGGTGCCAGCTGACTGTGCTCAACCAGTCTGAATCAACAGCACCACCCTGACCTGCAGGCATTCACACTTGAAATATGGCCGCTGCCTGCTCTTCCATTGCACATCTCCATTTAGTGCTTGAGCCCATGAAATGCCTGAGCAGTGAGCCAGAGCATTTCACGTCACTTGCAAATACAATATCATGAATGAACAGAGAAAAACATACTTTGAGAGAGAACTTTTCACAACTGTGATTTGGGAAAGCTTAAGTAATCTCATGGGTTTCCAAGTCAAAAATCAGAATTTCTCCCCGATACTTGAAAGTTATCACAAGTTGACTCATAATCACCTCATTTTCTAGTCACTTATGTCAAAACAAACCATTGCTTCTCTACAACTAGCATTTTGCTTGCTCACAGTGCAAGACAACTGCATTCATTGATTTGCCTCTTTTCTACTTTTTCAGTCTTTCTACTGTGAATTAGATTGTGGAATATATGAATTGTGAATTATGAATTGGAATTGAATTCATATATGGAATATATGAATTGTGAATTATGAATTGGAATATATGAATTGTGAATTATTATTAATTGTGGAATATATGAATTGTGGAATATATGATTGTGAAATATATGAATTAGATTGTGGAACATGTACACACACAAAATAAGTACTCTGTGTTCTTATCTTTAGGACATTTTCTACAACTTTAGCTGTTTAACTTGGTTTAAACAGGTGATTTCCTTTTGGCTATTCGATTTTGCCAAAGTCTACCAAAAAAAAAAACTAGAAAAAGAAAATCTAAATTTTATGAGGGTGTGGAGTGAGGGACAGATGAGGAATCTATATTCAGAATGCCAAATAAACAATTTGCCTGAGCCCATCATTTCTCTTCTAGGGATCAGAGTATCAAGTCTATTTATTTTCTTTGCTATGATCCTAATCAGACACATCACATACCACCCACTGCTCTAATTTAATAAGGACAAGAAAAACCAGACGGAGTATTCAAACCAACGTCTTAAGCCGAGACAGCCATAATAGCAGGTATCCTAATTATATAATATTGATTTCCAACATTAGAATTCAATTATATAGTTCAAAGAAAATCTAGAACAAGCAAACTAATGTTGTGGTGTCCAGTTTAGTAGAAAACTACTTGGATTAGAAAAAAAAATTTCATATCTCAAAGCACACAAAGCAGACCATACTGCAAACATCAAACAGCATTATACTCAGTGAATAAAGAATAAGCATGATTATTGTTTTGAGACTGCAAAAACCCAGTGGGAAAAATAGAGAGAGAGAGATGCAGATAAAATAAAATTAGGAGAAATAGTTACAAATGTTAACTATCACAGCCATGATTATACAATACTAAAGCAAAGAAAGAAAAGCATAAAACAAGATGACTGATGGGCTTTGGTTAGGTCCAAAATGTGGTGAATATTTTCAAAATAATATTTTAGATATGCTTGCTCCAGAGAAAGGAAAAACATTACCAACTAAGTAGGTATGAAAAGTTCATGAAGGAGCAAAAATACTTTTAAGTTTTAATGAGAAAGAATTTCTAGTCTTTTAAATAATAGTGAATTCCACAATTGGCTAATTCATGTCATTTAACCAGCAATTTATACACCAACCTCATTTAAGTCCTGCTGTGTTTCAAAAGCATCCTTTGGGCAAATGGCAGCTTTCTGGTCGATTCTACAAAACATAAAAGAACATTATATCTATTTAGAAGAAACCTTTCAACAATGTACATTTTGAAGTTATGGCCATCGATCTGGTCATGCCCCTGTTAAAAACCCTTGAGGTACCCCACTGACCAGAGAATAAAATCCACACTCTTCACAATATCCTGGGACACATGACAGTGTTTGAAACCCTGCCAGCTTCCCTGACCCCACCCCTTACTACTCCCACTCTTGTCTACACATTACAGTCACTGTAATGTGTGGCCTTCCATTTCTTGAACACATAGTTCTTATTCCCTATTCAAACCTTCACACTGAGCCCTGGGCCCAAACTAGTCTCCCCAGAACTGCACACAACTCTTGCACTATATAAGCATGATCTCAGCCAACATATCATCTCCCCAAGGAGGCCTCACGCACTGAGCTCCCTAGCCAGAGTGGCTGTCCACCTTGCGCTTCAACACTGCCCTGTACATTTTCTTCTTAGCACTTCTTACGATCTGAAATTATGTTTATTGGCATTTTCACAGAAAAATGTATACAAAAGCATTAGTTATGTCCATTGTCTAAATTGTTAAATTTTTAGTACCTAATACAAGTTCACCAAGTTTTTTAATGAATAACTATGATTTGGCATAATTGTTATAGAAAGATACCAGTTCTGTAACTCTGAATTACTGAAGTCAGCTTTTGGAAATTCCATCCCATCTCCTAACTTACACAATAAATGTTATATCATTGCAGGATTACATAATGAAACTGGGTTTTGCCACTCCATAGTTTCCAATAGAATAAAAAGTGTTTAAAACAAGGCATAGAATTTTGAGTCAATTTTCTTTAGTTTAAAAAAAACTCAACTGCTGGCAGATGCTTAGGTCCAAAGCATGATTTGACAAATTCTACAGTCTTGTATCTGTTATATAGCATTCAAGTCTCTGCAGCAGTTCTCATAGTATTATATAATAAACATTAAATTATAGTTATTATCCTTATGAAAAGGCCAGCTATCTTAATGAATAAGAGATTTAGTTAACAAGTTATTTTAAAAAAATACTTATTTGGGGGCATAATTATTTACCATTTTATTCTGTCTCAATTTGAATCTTGAAGAGAGTGAATATATTCTCTGAATGAATAACAGGATTAATGATTTCTACATTCATAATGTTTTTTAAAATGTGCACTTAGAAATGCCATAAGCCTAACTTCTTCAAAATATTCTTAAGAATGAGAGTTTCTTTCAGGCCACAGGTGTTGCTAACTGTGCAAACAATTTACTTCTAATGAGAAAAGTAAGGTGATGATAAAACAAGAAAATCGTGAAGGTCAGACTGATGTTTTCCATACCTATATAGTATTTGCCTCCTAGATATGAGACAAGACTCAGCCTCCATCCATGAACTCAGGCATAGACAGCTCAAATGGAGAAAAGAGAGTAAGGAAAAAGACTTCTGGCTTGCCTGTCCTATATCCATCAGTGCCTTGGTGATTTCAGAACTTCAGAAAATACAGAGTAGCTCAGCTCTTTCCCACAAAATAAACAAAATGACTCTTGGAAACAAGGATTTACTCATACTACCTACTAACATCTAAAGCATTGTATAGTTCATAATTTCTTTCTCACCTACAGTGTTTCTCAAACTATATTTCTATGAAGTTATGGAAACACCCAGACAAAATGGAAGTACAGTATTTTTAATAGGGAAAATATACTAGTTTACACTTCATTAACATAAATTTTTTTAGGACTTTGGTCTCAGCATCCTGTTAGTGACAGCAGATACTAAAACAAGTAAATAGGTAGCAAGCACTAATAAAAGGAAGCAGAAATACCCTTTAAAAATTCAGTATATTATAGACATGCAGATAACATCCTACTAATAATGTATTTGCATAATCTTCCAGAAAAACTACTCTCAACCATTAGATAAACCTTCAGAACAAATTTGAGAACTGCAGTCTGAAGCATCAAAGACTTTAATTTGCTTACCATCTGAACGTCTACTACATGCTTGGTTCCATGTTGAGGAAATAACAGTAAACAAAGTCTATGCCTTAAGAAACCTGGAAATCTACTCAAATCTTAAGCAGTGGATAAAATTAATGAATAAGGAAACTTGAGGACATTTCAGCAAATGGAGTATCAGGGCACAGTAGCTAATATAAGAAAGGTAGAGAGCAAATGCAGAGGTAGGGACAAGTCAGAGGAACATTTTCTGGGATAAAAGCAACCAAGAAGTCTTTAGTGTGAATAAACAAGAAGGAATAATCAAAAATTTTTTGGCCTATGTGACATGGAAAACTGGCAGATTTTTTTCTAATATGTAATTTAGATATCTGAATTTTGAGATAAGATTGAAACAGAGAAGTAAAAATACCAGATGAGAGTTCACCTGAGAACCAGAGCACTCTATTGTATGTTTAGCAGAACATGAGTGGTGATAATGACAATGATCCCAGGGTGACAGGTAAGGTCATATGGGCAGATTCTATAACAATTTTCTCCTCATTGTGTATCCAGAGCCTTCTATGGTGCCTAATCCATGGTACATTTTCAGGGAAAGTACAATTTTGGATGTATAGATAAAGAAACAGAGAAACCAGACCTAAGAAAGATTCCTGAGTGATCATTTACTAGTGTGTACTCTTGGGCAATAGATTAATCTTTCTAAGCCTCAGTTTCTTCATCTATAAAAAGAAGATCTGTAAAGAACAACTACCTCATAAGGTAATTCATGATGTGAAGGATAATTCATGAATAAAGATCACTATTATTGTTAGCTATAAAATATAAAAATGGATTCTATAATCACATAAAATACCATATTAGAATTATTATAAATTATGATAATTAATGGGATGTCTTATTTAATAATAATCAAAGTCTTGCTAATACACTGAAAGAAGAAACCAATCAGAGCCACTGAGCAGGTCTTTGGAACTAGCCAGTTAGGAGAAAAAAGACAGACAAGCCATGAAGACAATATAGAGGCACCACTAAGGAGGCAGAAAGCTAACCAGAACTGACATTCTAATTATCAAAGAGAAAGAAGTTTTAAGAAAGAAAAGCATCAAGAGGAATCTAACAATTCATCAGCCCTTACTATAGCAGGCAGGGTATGCAATAGAATTTCACAAGCTAACTTTGCCAGAAAGCATCAGTCACCTAGAGGCAATGAGAATGAAAGCACTGGATTAGGAAAGAAAATGGTCATGGTAGAAGAGGAAAAAGAAATGGAAGTTTATCATTAAAGAAATTCAGCAATGAATTGAGGAAAACTAGAAGAGTGGCTAGCCTTCTCAAATCCTCTTCTTCCTAACATCTTCAACAATCCTGCCAGGAAGCTGCCTACACTCAAACACTGCATCACACTGAAACACTCTACATTTCTCTTGCTCCCACCACCCACAACAATAATAGGAAAGTGACTAGCACATCTACATAAAAATGTGTCTTCTGGAAGGGGCAATGATGAGTAAGCCAGGCAGAGTACTCAGCCAACTCCATTATAACTTTACCACCCTCTAGCCCAGGCCAACCAATGGAAAATACAGCTTGTCTGACCCAGAGCCCAATTATGGGCCTCAGTACTGATGACAGTGTGATGCCTCCAACAACCACAATTAATATTATCACAGCTAACACCACCACCACTAACACTACTAATAAGAACACCACCATCACCATCAGAAATACCATCTGTACTACCATCACCACCAGCGGCAGCATCACTATCACCATCAGCATTACCACCACATATAACAGAATTACTCACAAACACCATCATCACTACCACCACCATCACAAGCAATATCACGACCATTGTGCCACAAAGCATCACCATAAACACCTTCATCACCATGCTATCGTCACTGTACAACTCAAAAACACTTTCAACAGAGAAATGCAGAGCTTAATCATATGCTGATATTAAAAGTTTCTCCCTAGATTCTATAACTATAAACTTGTGACAAATCCACTGAAGTGCAATTTTGCTAAAAATTGTTGGTATTCCCATTTTGAACCTTAAAGCATGTGCTGAGTCATCCTGTAGGGCCATCCTGCAGTGTGCCTCTCTTGGGAGGTGCAATGGAATTCAAAATAGCAAAACCATCTAAGCATTACAAATATTTTCTTGTTCTAAGGACAGTGTCAAACCACAAGATATGATAAACTGTGAAAAAGCCATACTTTACCTTTTTAACTGTAATTAAATTACTAGAGGAAAAGGTTCCCTAGCTCAGTAAAAACCTTCCAATCTAGCCATCGGCTCATGGAAGACACCAGAGAGTTATCTGAACCCTTCAGATTCCTCAAGCCCAATGGCAAACTTATTACCAGCCCTTCTATTTCTTACCCAAATTACTTTTGTAATTTGTAATTATAATTACTTTTGTAATTGGTCCCCTCATCTTCATCTCCACCACTGCCATCTTAGGCCAAGCCACCATCCTTTCTCATCTGAAATATCTAGATGACAAAAAGTTTCTTCCTCCCTGGTTTCCCTACTTCCTCTCTATCTTCTCCAGACCATTTCCATACAAGATCATGTCACTCACTCTCCTGCACACACTGCACTTAAAAAAAAAAATTCTGAAAGTATCTTATGAGGCCTTGAGGAGTCAGCCTCTTCCCACCTCTTCAAACTCAACTTGTATCATGATCCCTCTCTGTGCTCTGGCTACTCTAGGATTCTTTCAGTTCTTCAGATGTACCACACTCCTTTCCAGCGTATGCCTTCAGACAGGCTGTCCCTGTACCCAGCATGCTCCTTTGAGTCCATTTTCTCTCCTAATTAATGCATTTATCCTGTGGATAGCAGGTAGCTTCCCAATCAGGTCATTCTTTAGTAAGGTCTTACTGTACTTACCTGATCTTTTTCTTCCTAATCATATATTTGTGTAATTATTTGTCTTTTTCTCATGATGGTAAGCTCTGTGTGGCAAGGATCATATGAGTTTGCTAAACATTGTATTTTTAGAGCCAATCCTGGCATAGGATATATGTGT